TGGCGACGTGTCCCAACAACACGGCCGACTTTGCCCTGGCGGCGCGCTGCGTCTCCACGCCCTTCGCGCTCAAAGGGGCCGGCGCTGCCGCTTCCCAGGGCGCAGGTAAGGCGCGCCGCTTCCTCTCGTATGACGCGCTCGCTCCCCGGCGCCGTGTTGCCGGCCGGCGAGCAAGTTTGGGCCGCTCCCTGAACGCAGTTGCCGATAGGCTGAAACGTGCGGCGCCGCAAAGCCAATGGAAATCTTTCGGATTTGAATTTGAATCGCTAGACTTGAAGAGGCGCATTGGAAAAACCGAATCTGACTTGCATGCGTTGAATTGGCCTCGCTTTTGTTGGACCGAATTGGACCGTTTCCGAAAATTCAACTTTGTACGTTTTTTTGGCAATCGGTTTTCCCCATTCAAATCGGTTGGCTGGACTTTTCACTTTCAGCGTTGTGAGTAAAAATGGACCTTTTCCACTCAACATCCGGCGGCCCTTGAGGATGAGCGATCGCTTGCGCAACTCAGATCGCCTCTTTGTCCGGTCAGCATCTTTGTTTTGAGCACGTGAAACAAGCGTGAGTTCCGAGCGCCACTTGACCTTTCCGACGCCTTCCTTTGTCGCGCAAGCCGTCGCGGTCGAGGAGGAATGAAAGGACAGCGAACCCGCAGCAACGTATCAAAAGCAAGTCAGGCCGTCGATCCGCGCCGAGGTGTCGTTTTTGGCTTTCGGGCCGCTTTCCCGGCAAAACGGAGGCACGCCGGCGCTCCGTTGCCCCGCGTGCGTCCCTCGAAATGACAAGCGAGTGAACGATCGTGACGCGCCGTCCGTGTCGTGTGTTTTCCAGCGGACGTCACGTGCGCCGGCAGAGAGGCCGACGAAAACACTTTCATGGGACGCTCGCACAAGCTCAGGTGAAAAGCTCGACTCGCCGCCCTTCACTTTCTCTTCTCGTCCAACCGCGAGTCACCCAAGCGCAGTCTCCACCCTTTGTTCCCCGGGGCCCGCTCCGTCGTCGTCCAGATTTTTCATCGACGACGCGGGGTGGGCTTCGGCGACGTCGGTTTCCCGTGAGAAACGAAACGCGGAGGGCCGGGCCGTCACGACGTCCGTTCCCGCAAAACAAAAGCGCCGAGCGCCCATCTGGGCGCAGGCTGGCGGTGGGCTCGCCTCGTTTGTTTTTGAAATGGGGCTGAGCTCACCCGCTTTGACTTCGAAGCGCTCACCCGCCGGCTTCTTGCTCGCCTCCCCCGACTCAGTCCCATTATGGAGCAGAGTCCGCCCGACGACAAGTCCTCCGCCGGTCAGCCGGCGTCCTCCTTCGCGGTGCACGCCGGCACCATCCTGGGCGAGGGACTCGCCGCCCATCGGCCGAGCGCCTCGTCCGCCGCCCCGGCGG